TAAAAAATAGTATGTGCTCATGAACCAAAAAAACAGATCACCCAGCACGGCAACCGTGTATTTGTAATTGAATTTGAGAAAAAAATAGTTGATGACGTCATTTTTTAATTAGTTCTGTTTCATTCGTTCGTTCGTTCGTTTTGGTAGTTGTTTGTTTACGTTTGTGGTGTGATTTTTTAATAATTCTTTTAAATATAAAATGAAATGCGTTGTTATCGGATGCGAAAGCACATACATGAAGAATTCGGTAAGTTTTCACAGTTTTCCAAAGGAGGGTAACTTGCTGAAGCACTGGATACGCTTTTGTGGCCAAAGCGTTGTGGGCAAGGATGCCAAGATTTGCAGCAAGCACTTTCTCCTGGGAGATTTTTAAAATGGTAGGATGTTTGAGTTCGGTAAGTCCCTAATTGTTTTTGTTTGTAAAGAAACATTCATAAATTCGGTCAATACATAATTGATCTTTTAAAGAAACAGTCATGAGCTTAGCTTACTTTCCAGATTTGGCGAGACGGGCGGTCCTTTAAAAATGCGCGGTCCCTACAATTAACGGTGGACAATCCGACAAGGTAAACTTTGATGAATTCCTCGAGGCTGTAAGCTTCGTGGAAATGATAGACCCGGAAAATGCTTCGGCACCGGCCCCGGCCAGATCGCCATTGCTGGAAGTTGCACCAGATCGGGTGGCCCAGAAAAATGGCAATGTCTCAATAATTAACGGTGTACGGTCCAAGCAGCCTTCAAGATTGCCATTGCTGGATACTGCGACAAATGAAGTTCCATTCGTAAATAGTTTGGCTTGCTTAGAACAGAAAATGTAAGTTAAACACATATGTACTTTTAAATTTAAAGTACGCTAATAATATGTTTATATCGGTTACAGTGAGGCACTGCAATCTGGAGCAAAATAATCGCAAAAACAGCTCAAAGCAAAAATGTAAATACATGGATATAAAGTAGGTAAATTGTCATCATTAATATAATTATTTGTTCATTTCCAGTGGAGCGCTTAAGTGCGAAAGCCAGAGATTACGAGAGTGCTCAAAAAATCGGCTAGAAGATAACGTCAAGTTGGAGCAGAAAATGTGAGTTTCATACGTTAAAGTTCTATGTAACATATTCGTTAAATAACTGATTCCTTTTTCAAAGGGAGTCACTAACGCGTGAAAATTGTAGCCTCAGAGAAGCTCAAAATGTGCTAAAAGCACAAATGTTAGCGCTGGAAGAACGCCTTAACAAAGGTGTGTTCGAACACAACAATATTGTGAAGAAGCTCAAAAATATTTTTACGGCAGGCCAAATCGACAAGTTGAAACGAGGGAAAAGGTTACTAAAGTGGAGTGAAGAAGATGTTTCGCGCTCTATTACGCTATATTCGACTAGCGCTAAAGTCTACAAATGGTTAAGAAAAAGGGGGTTTCCCCTTCCTTCCGTCAGCACGCTTCAATGGTGGGCGAAGAAACTTACTTTTACTACTGGTGTCTTAGAGCCCTTCGTCAAAATGTTGTCCTCTGCAAATCAGCTCGACTGTGTCCAACGGATATGTGTATTAAGCTTTGACGAAATGAAGGTGCGGAAGGCGTATTGCTTCGACAATGGATCTGATACTTTGTAAGAACCGGTAGACTTTGTTCAAGTAGCCATGCTGCGAGGTATGTATTTTACATATGACATATTATTTTAATTGCCGTAATTAATTTTCCTGCAGGCTTGATGTCTAAGTGGAAACAACCGGTCTTTTACGATTTTGATTGTAAAAT